ATACTGTCACATGTAAGTGTCATACTGTCACATGTAAGTGCCATTCTGTCACATGTGTCATACTGTCATATGTAAGTGTTATACTGTCACATGTAAGTGTCATACTGTCACATGTAAATGTCATACTGTCACACGTATACATCATGATGATTGAAAAAATAGGTAAATGTTGATGTTGCATTAACTTGTGATGTCAACAACATGTTATGACACTTGAAAAGCTATATATTTTTTTTTACATTTTTTGTTTGACACCTCTCAGAAATATAGTTTTCAAAACGTTTTGCAGCTCAAAAACTACATGGATGGACCATTCTCATATTACAACATAGCCTGCCAGTAGTTACTGAGAGATCTACAAGTTTCAGGTTACCCGACATCATACCATCTCCTATACCTGGAACACTGTACTGTAAACCAATTAGGAACAACACATAAAAGGTCACTATCAGTACGGTAACCATGGTGCCAGTCTGATAACAAAACAAGAATTGTCCAAGAATATGCTTTATAACAGAGAGCTGATTAAATCTCTGTAAACCAATGGGGAATAGACATTGATTGAAATTCTGGTTAGGATTAAACAAACAGAAAGGGATTACAAACTATAAATGTACCGTGTTTACTGAGAATGGCCTCCAAATAGCCCCCAACATGCATAATAGAATAATATGACTGCACATTCTTCAGGTTAAATCTATATTGAATATCCAGAACAATATCCACATTTGAATCCAATTTCAAATTATGACCTCGGTTGAAACAAGAAATATCCATAAAAGAAATCAATGGTCGAGTTTATATTTATTTGTGACATATTTGCTAAAAACATAAAAGACTTTTATAACTTAATCATTTCATAAATTCATCCAATCGATATAACTGATTTAGTTGCTTATTTTTGGCAAAGGCCTAATTAATTTTCAATGGGAGGTCATTCACAACAAGTTTGATGGAATTTTATGGGATCATGCAAAGTTTTAGACAGTTGCTAGGGAATTTATATGAACAATATACAAAGTATACTCCTGTTTCTGAACAGCTCTTTGATCCATTAATTTCTTTTACATCTATCGCTGTTCATATTGTGTGTTCACTACTAAACATCAGAAATGTACCGGGTAAAGCGTTTCCTTCCGCATTTCATCATTTCTGCCGTGGCACAATTCTATTATGCACGATCACACTAGTCAATACAAATAACCACTGGCATCATGGGTTCTTGTTGGGGTTATGAGTATTTTTAGTCATAGCACATGACTGGTAAATTGTGCAATATAATACCGATCTCAAATTGGGGTAAGGACACACTGTAAGTAGTCTATATACACAGTTACCGTAATAGTACTGATAAGTGGCAATAGATTATTGCTACATTAATTCTGAACACCTTGAATTACTTTCCTGTGACAGACATAGACATTACTTTTTCTTCCCATTCTCTACAAATTACATTTGCATCATTCAAAAGACTCACAGTGTCCATTTCTAGAAATCTTGACTGAAAATAACTAGATTTAGTTTGGTTTAGTTTGGTTTGTTTGTGTTTTACGTCCTTTTAACAGCTATGGTCATTTAAGGACGTGCCAGGTTTTGGTAATGGAGGAAAGCCGGAGTTCCTGGAGATAAACCACCAACCTATGACCTACAGCCAGTACCTTTGGCGACTGCCCCACAATAGGCCTCGAACCCGCGACCAAGTGGTGGACGGCTAGTGGTAGCAGAATGTCAGACGCCTTAACCACTTGGCCACCGCGGCCCCAAATTACTTTGATTTACGGTTGATAATAAACAATACATGATATATACAAACATATGATCAACAACAATTCCGGGAACAACTTTAACAAGTACTAAGTATACTTATACAATGTCTGTTTGATTTATTTAAACTTCATTATGTCAGTAAAATCCACCTAGTTTCACACAGACAATGAAGCAGACCCTTTATAGAAAGGTTTTCATTTCCTTACACGCTGTAAACTGATCACATATTTACAGTTTTGTGCAATGATCCACAGTACTTGTATATCTGACCACACGCTGGTACAGACAAGGATTGGCAGATAATCAATAATCCGTAGTCATGACAGTACTTAATTAACAAAAGGCCCACTAAGCTGTACTGCTCCCCTGTGTCTATTATTATCTGTATTGTTTCCTGAAAACTGAAATGTTTCCACCAACTTAAGACCACACCATAGTGGCAATACCAAATTTCTTATTGACCCAAAGAATTAAAATTACAACACTTGGTAATTTAACAGCAAAACACAGGAATATTTGTACGACATTTAGTGAAAATTTACTAGGCGGAAATTACAATTACTCAAAAGTGTCTACACCTCAATCAGAGGTCAGGGTCGCCATTTCGGATTTCAAATCAACCTTAAAAATACCAACATAATTTCCCAATGTTGAAAATGTCTAGTGAGCCAATCATAGGACTGTAAAACAAGAAAGAGAAATGCAACGGCCAAAGCGGTGTTCCAACCCAGGACCCTCCGAACTCTAGACAGACGCTCTACCTATTGAGCTACCCAGATTTACCCAGTCTAGTTCCGGTACAGGACAAATGATCATCTTCGATTGTAGATTTGGCTGAAAATAACTCTTTGTCAGGGCTAAAGAGAAAAACATGATATTTTTAGTATTTGTCAAATTTGGTCTAATGAAAATTACAAATAATTCAAAATTGTCTTGGCTAGTCAGAGACTGACTAACTTGGCGAATCTGGACTTCAATTCAGTCCAAAATATAATGAGTCATGAAATGATCATTAGCACCTTCACTTCTTAGACTTGGAGAAGATGTTGAAATTGTTTTACCCCTGATTTCCCCTTATGGACTGTCTCCTCACTCTGCTCTGTACTACATTGAAATCCATTTATTCAGGAAGAATCCGTCAGCTAAAAGAGGTTCAAATTTATTCACGTAAATTTAACAGGCAGTGTTTTATATAATGTATCTATGGGCACCATTACACTAAACCAAACTTCTAGGGAGAGATATACCAGCAAAGTATATGTAGGACAGTCTAAAAAAGCAAGTATGTTTAATACATAGAATACAGCAAATACGGAGTATCATGTTTTTGGCCAGTCACATATAAAATGTCTTCACAAATGAAGTACAAGTAATGTTAAAGTTACAAACCTTGATGGTCATGCAGAGTGAAAACGGGAAAAATAAGACGACCACACAGATGGAGAAAAACATGAGGACATATCCACAGCAGCCGATGTCTCCGTCCTGAGACTCCCTGTTCATTTTAGCTGAAAGAAGTGCATAACAATTGTTTAAATTAATCAACAGAAATATTAAGGATGAACATTTGTATGCAATGAAAATAAGGATGTGTAACAGGGTAGCTCTTCTGATAAGATCAAGTGTCTCTACTGGGAGTAAAACTCAGCACTACATGATACAAAAGTGTCTCTACTAGGAGTAAAACTCAGCACTACATCATACAAACGTGTCTCTACTAGGAGTAAAACTCAGCACTACACGATACAAGTGTCTCTACTGGGAGTAAAACTCACCACTACACCATACAAAAGTATCTCTACTGGGAGTAAAACTCACCACTACATCATACAAAAGTGTCTCTACTGGGAGTAAAACTCAGCACTACATCATACAAAAGTGTCTCTACTGGGAGTAAAACTTGGCACTACATCATACTACTGTTTGAGCAGTTCAAACACAAAAGTAAACCGGTCAGACAAAATAGTTTAAACTCAAGTTTCAATCATGCACTTGGTCTATTTTTATCCGAACTTACATGTACAAATAACTTGCTTTTATATATAACACTATAAGGCCTTTTATCTACCACAAAGGTCCATTGTCATTCAAAAACTAATCTATCTGACGTAGTTATCAGTAATTCAATGCTGTGTGCTGGTGGTTTGTACCACAGGGTTGTGTATGCGTTTCGTGTGGTTGGTGTCATAGGCTCTTTTACCACCGTTGGCTAGCCTGCTTAGCAGGTGAAACAAAAGCAGAGTGAGTAAGTCTTTTTGCCAGTACATAGCCTCTACACTATTCAAGACTTCTACAATGCCTCCTCGCGACAGCACATGGTAACTAGGGTTTAACAATCCAAGGCAAAATTGTAGAGGATCTCGGAGCAGCAAGGGCCCTAGAGATGTAGTGCGTAGGCCCACCGGCGTGTGGACATGCCCTTGCACTCATCAACCTTGCCCCAGCTATGGGTAAATAGCACCAAAGCACCACTGCCTTGTGGTTAGATTAGGGATAATCAAAGGCTATGGGAGCAGACCCAGAAAGAAAAGCTGGGAAGATGGAGCTCGGCAGCCATGGTAGGCAATCGTCTACGGAAAGGAAAACTCAGATAGAAAAACTTGATCCTGCAGGTAGTAGGTTTCTTGCATGGCTAATCACCAGGCAGATTAAACAAGAGTACTGTGGGGCGGAACAAAATATGCCCGTCGAATGCCATATAGTGTTATATACTTTCTTACATTGAAATAAGATCTGCATCATTCTAAGAGTGGTTAGCTGATATACTATAAAAAATGTAGGAGAACATCTTCAGACAAAAAATCAAATACTGAAATGAACAAAATGGGAGACACAACTTCATATCATGATTATCATGAAAACCAAGTTTCAAAGAGATAGGTCGAAAAATGTAAGAGGAGATCTCCGGACAAAATTCAAATACTGAAATGAACAAAGGGCAATAACTTTTGAGGAAAATGATGAATCAAAAGTCTTTTAAGGGAGACACAACCTCATATCTTGATTATCATGTATACCAAGTTTCAAAGAGATCAGTCAAAAAATGTAGGAGGAGATTGCCGGCCAAAAATCAAATACTGAAATGAACAAAGGGCAATAACTTTTGGAAAAATTGTTGAATCAAAATTCTTTTAAGGGAGACAAAACTTCATATCATGATTATAATGTATACCAAGTTTCAAATAGATCAGTCGAAAAATGTAGGAGGTGATTGCCAGACAAACAAAGTTTACGCCGGATGGATGGACAACGCAATACCATAATACTACCGTCAAATTTGACGGTCGTATAAAAATAGCTGATTACGGAAACCCAAGATACATTATCTGGGCCTTAAATGCCGACCGGCAAGAAGAGGATAGGTGAGGTGAGGTGAGGATTATGAAATAGTCTTACAGTGTCCCCAGAATTTTCATTACGTAATAGTCTTCAATTTTTCCAGTTGTTGCAAAATACTTAATGTTTTACACTAACTATACTATTATGACAATCATCCCTCCTATGAAAAAGGGTTCTAAATCAATTATTCCTGTAAATTTCCGTTGCGAAATAAAACCATAAGAGGAATGAAACATGTAAGCTTTTAAATGCAAGACATTTATTTATTACGATTATGTCTAATTGAAATCAGCCAAGGAAGATAAATCTCGATTATTTTTGAAAAAGAACCAGATTGTAGTTACCTATATTTTCCTTTTTTTGTTTCAATGTCATTGTCAGAAAGCAGTATCTTTTGTTTTTCATGGAAACAGCAAAACATTTACGGATGCGGAGAACTCGGCAAAATCTCTAGTTTTATATAATTGTATTCAAAACTGTTGAAAATCAAACAATAGGAAAAAAATAAAAAATCCTGCAATATGTTTATTGGAGGAATGACTCATCACGTTGTTAAAGAAATTGGAACTGATTTTCAAAAATGTCTCTTTTCTGAAAAATCAGCTTTCTCTTCTAAGGACTGTAAAGAAACAGGTTGAAAAGCAGGTCAAAAAGTGGTCAAAAATTTCTCACATAGGTCGGTCAAACAGTTATATTGTCTCACAATGCATAGAAGCATACAGCATAAAAGTCATGTTTTTTTCTTCCCATTAATTATAGTAAAAATGTGTTGTTTTTTTCTTTTTCTCCATATTCTAAGTCTTTTTCTCCATATTCTAAGTCTGGTCGACAAATTGAGCTTTTATCTTCTCAAACTTACGCCCTCCCGTATGTGTTGCTACTCACACTTAGGCCCTCCCGTATGTGTTGCTACTCTCACTTAGGCCCTCCCATATGTGTTGCTACTCTCGCTTAGGCCCTCCCGTATGTGTTTATCTCCTCACACTTAGGCCCTCCCGTATGTGTTTATCTCCTCACACTTAGGCCCTCCCGTATGTGTTGCTACTCTCACTTAGGCCCTCCCGTATGTGTTGTAACATGTATTACATACATATTCAAAAGTTGTATAAATATGACATCAGCATAGAACCATATGTCCAGATTAAATTTAATATACTACATTTTAGATTCACTGAAAGCGAACATAATAAACATGTTAATTTGTTTTGCTGGTGATACAAATTAGGTGCGAAATGTTTTCTTTATTAACAAATGATCTGATAACGGGATACACAGGCAATAAACATTGTGTTTTTCTGATATTTTGCTATTGCAAGATTGCATTCCGCATATAGATATATTTCATAGCCGGAGGTCTATAGTGAAATATATCCATTCACGCAATAAGCATATATACAGATATCAGATGAACACATAGGTGTGGTGTTGCTATTTTGCATACTTTATATCGTCATTTGCATTTTAAATTTTCTGCAAAACATAACTCATCAATTACCCCATACTGTATTAATTAAGCTTTAATATTCTTCCCAAAAACTTAAACTGAACAACAGTCGTAGACAAAACGACATTGAGGACAAACTAATCACATTACCATAACATATATGACACTGATATGTTCCCAACCCCATTTTATATTTGTTGATTTGATCAGTAGATAACAACCGATAAATTCCAGCTACTGGGGTATTACAATATCTTGTATTATCATTGTGAAATACACAACCTTGTCTTGCACTGCTTGACAACTGGGTGTAGTACCAGCCGAGCCAGTAGAGCCGAGGTCCAGGGTTCAAATCCTGTTCTGGCCTCATTACATTTGTACAGTCAGAACACTGTGGTTGTTTATTTATCTAAGATTATTTTATCTTTACTATTCCGTCATTAAACTTCCACAAGGTATGGTTTTCAGTATCAAACCTATAGCCATACATAGTAAAGTTCTCGTGTCCAAATAAAAAAAAATGCATAAAAAAGTTCCCATGATTTGATTAACTACAACGTTAAACAACATTTCTTGACTTTTGATTTAAAGACGTCAAATCCAAGAAAATAAAGTGATATGACAGCATAGGCTTCTAGGCAAAAGGCCGAAAAATCAGCATTTTGATGTGGTGTTTCAAAAGCAAGATTTTCTTTCTAAATACAACATATGTGACATATTTATGCTCACTTCCGTACTATTAAAAGGTAAATGAAGACCATTTGAATAGGATTGGATAGTTACACAAAGGTCGTAGTTATAGACTTGTGGTAGTTATAGACTGGTGGTTGTTATAAACAGGTGGTTGGTATATACAGGTGGTAGTTATAGACAAATGATAGGTATAGACAGTTAGTAGCTATAGACAGGTGGTTGTTATAGACAGGTGGTACTTATAAACAGATAATAGATATAGACATGTGGTTGTTACAGACAGGTGGTAGTTACTGACAGGTGGTTTTTATGACAGGTGGTAGCTGCAGATGGGTGATTGTTATAGACAGGTGGTATCTATAGACAGGTGGTTGGTATCAACAAGTTGTAGCTGAATACAGGTGGTTGTTACAGAATGGTGGTTGTTCTAGACAAGTTGTATCTATAGACAGGTGGTTGTTACAGAATGGTGGTTGTTCTAGACAAGTGGTATCTTAAAACAGGTGGTTGTTACAGATGGGTGGTTGTTATATACAGGTGGTTTTTAGACAGGTGTTGTTACAGATGGGTGGTTGTTATAGTCAAGTGGTATCTATAGACAGGCAGTTGCTATAGACTGGTGGTTGTTATAGACAGGTGGTATCTTTAGACAGGTGGTTGGTATAGACAGGTGGTATATATAAAAACATATCCCAGAGGGATCTTGGCGCCCATCTTTGTACCATCTTCATTAGTTCTTTGTCAGTTCGATCTTTTCTCTTCTGACCTCTAATCTGTTTGATCGAGTCATGTTAACAGTAAATGCACCTTGAGGTAACTTCTGATCTAAACTTAATACTGATGTGTATGAAAGCCAGCCTTAAAAGTGAGTTTGTCATTTCACATATTTACTAGTACAGTACTTAACGTGCAAGAAATAGAATTGATCATTGCAATATGAGAAAGATCTGTTTAGTTCTTCTTTTAATACATTTTGTTTTTATGATCAGTTTCAAAATATAACATGCATAACGAGGGATCAAGGGGAACCTA